GGTAAATACAGAAAAAGCCAATAAACAAGCATTATATTCCTTTGAGACCATTCCTGTTTTCAAATTGCTTTGCAATCCCTGAGAACTTTCTTAATTCGGAAGTGGAAAGACTTATGCTTTGGGGTGGAACAAGAGAAATACTTTGCATTTTTGATACATTACCACCACAAAAGTTTTGCCTGTGTGGCATTGCCCTCTGCTGGTACTGGTCTGAGGAGCTTCACAAGTCCCATAGCAGAGCATGCTGGTGAGGTTCATCTCCTTTTGGAGATGTCCTTCAAAGGCAAGGATCTGAGTGCTCATTCACAGTTGTCTTGGTCCACATCGTGCTCGTGGTTTGATTTATTTTGACAACAGTGAATCTGTTATGGACAGGGTTTTGTTTTAATACAGCTTTAAAAGCATTAGAGGTCTTTGATAATCATTCATTTTCCAGTGAATATTCTAAGTATGCATATTCGTTTTCATATCGGACCTGCCCTTTGAAGACAGTTGCATTAAACATCAATGCAGTATCATATGATATGCTCTGAAGTGACAGAAATCTCCTTTTTTCTTCCCCCCCCCCCATCTAGTGTCACCTGATTCACTACCTGAGACTCAGCCATCACTTGATAGTTCTGAATTATTTGATTTGTACCTTTGACAAGCTGAAGTCTGTCTCCTCTGAAGACATTAACATCACGGATGCTGTTTTTGACGGTGTGGAAGTCAGAGTGTTTGAACCTCCTGCAAAGCAAGATGAAAGGCTCAAGCGCAGCGTTGTTTACATCCATGGAGGGGGCTGGGCCTTGGCAAGTGCAAGTATGTGTCTGCCAGTAATTAAATAGGATTCTGGTCTGGTTTTCTCCTAGTAGGAGAAGCCAAAAGCTGTTTTTCCTGCCAGGGGTGACAATTTTGCTAAGACGTACCTGAATTCAGTAGTAACTGTCTCCATTCTGGTAGATCAGCTCTAAGGAGGGAGGGGGAAACATACCGTGAACACGCAGCAAAAATGCATATCTTATCTGCACATGAGCTGTAAAAGGACCAAAAGGTTAATTTTGTTACATCCTGAGAGGACAAAACAGCCTATTGTTTAAATTCCTGGGATGCCTGGATGGGCTGTTAAGGCCAGTCCCCCGTTTTCTACGGTCACGTGCAAATGTCGATCCTTGGTGATCAGGATGCAGTGTAAGGGTTTTGCCCCATTTTCACACAATAATTAGTAGAAGAGTGGGCTGAACAACACTGCATCTAACAGCATCGCTAATGTTTGGCTCTTAAATAGCACGTACGTGGGCATACATGCTGCTGATCGCAGACAACGGACAGCGTGATGAAGGAAATGGGTAGAGGTTGGTTCCCGTCCCATGGTTTCGCCCCCTCCCGTAGGGGACCACTGCCACCACTAGCAGAAATTACCGTGAAAATTAATGCCATTTACTCCAATTAACTTGGAAGCCGCAAACATGATCAGAGAAAGTAAGGTATGGCTATAGAGAATGATAAGTCAACTACTGAGCCTTCCATGGTGCACAGGAGGAGAAAAGCCTTGGGAGGGGAAAGGGTGTGCAGTTCTCATGGCTGCCCCGAGATCCAGATCCGATAGGAGTCTTCCCCCATCTCCTTCCCCATTGCTCCTGAGACACCATGAAGTCCATACAGCCCTGGTGCGTTCTGTGGCCTCATCTATAGAAAAAGAACATTGATGGGGTTTTCTGAAATGTTCCAAAACAAAGACTGTATTGATTGCATTTTGACTATGCATGTATAAGACCATGATTTAAGGGAGATTTCGGTTCCTAAACAACTTTAAAGTCTGTCCTTCACATGCCTTTGGAAATCCCAGTCTCTTTGTCCTATAGCCTATAGCAGTTAAAAATTTTGCTCCTCTTCCTACAGAGGAATTGTGCTTTGAGATGGGTTTTCTTAGGCCTGCCTAAGGGACGTTTGTTAGCGTCCTGCCCACCTCATTCGTTCTGTAGCAGTTTGCATATGACTTTTGTTGTGCAAAAGTTTATATTAAATTACTGTGCTTTGTTTGGATGACCATAACTCAGCTATGTCAGATGCTATCCTCGAATCCAAGCTGTAGAAGTTAATGGCACAAATGTTACAGCTAGATATTAAATTCTAAGACTAGATACTTTAGAAAACACTTAATGTCTTAGTATATTTTATAGTACTGGGAACCAACGATTAACTAACTGGAAAGGAATAAAATTAAAGAAAATCAGTCCACTGATAAATAGGATAGCTGTGATTAATCCTCCCTTAAATGAGTAGTTCAGTTGACGTTAATAGGGCAACTCATTTGAATCAAAGCAAGGCATGCTATAATAAAATGAACAAGCAGCAGTGACTCATACAGTGATAACTGTCTCTGGATGCTAATGCCCCCGAGCCACTGGGTACCTTAAATTCTGTGCAACTGAGAGAATTGTGATAGGTGGATGAAACGACATGCCCCAAGTCACCAAGAAACAGATGAGAAAGCAAGCATTAGACTGCAGGACTTCTCAAGGCATGAGTTATGTTCCTTCTGCTACAATATCTGTTTGGCACTTTACCTATTGCAAGCTGATCTCATTTACCTTGCTTATATTTGAATCATGTCTTTATATTTTCTGAGAAGGTTTACGTATGGCTTTGCGACTATTGACATAAATGGACTCACATGTCCCTAACGCTATGTCCTTTTGTTCCAGGAACAAGCCTTTATAACAATCTCTGCAGAATCATGGCTGAATCTCTCAATGCTGTCGTTGTCTCAGTTGAGTGAGTAATCTAAAACTAATCAAGTCATTTTAAGGTATTAGAAATATGTAACGTAGTTCATTTAGCTTTTCCCTTGTTACTGGCTTGTGTATAAGGCTTTAACTTGGACAATAATTCTCTTCACCGGTCTGATATTTGTACACTTTTAAAATTACAACAAATTGGAATGGTATCAAAAATTCATTTGGGTTTCTAATTATTGTAGAGACCATTTTAGAAGGCAGAAATGTGGGAAAAGAGAGTAGCACTTAATTCAGTTGGACAAATACTAAAACGCAAATTTTAATACATCTTGCAATTGTATCCACATGTAAGGTGTGCAGCTAAAACCTGAGATCACTCAAGTGCCAAGTTATGATTCTGTAAATACTTGTGAACTTTAAAAACAATCAAACAAAAAAACCAAACGCATTTGGACAAGATCTATATCTGAAGGAAGGCTGAACCACATCTCCATGCCTCCTCGTGTAGGAAGAGGGACTTTTCCCATCCTCAATGGCCACTCCCACTGCTGCAAGGTATATTTTAATATATACATTAAAAAAATAGGGGGTTTTGTATATATATGTATATTACTAAAATATATATATTAACCTGCTCTGAAGTCTGTCTATAAACCACAGTTTCTAAGTCATATTGAGCAAGGGTCTGCAACATACAAACGATCAGATCGCTTTACCCCTGCTCATTAAGCAGAACGCACCGTGGGCTCTGGCAGTTTGCTGCTGCTCTTTCAGTCTCCCACTGTTGCAGTCATCTCATTTAAGCCTTGTACTCCACTCGAGAGCAGAGGACTGCCAGGGTGCCAGACGACAGAGAAGCAGGGTTGCTTTTTTAACTCGCTGAACAATTCCAAGGTAAACAAACCTCTCAACTAGCTAACTACATTACCTAGATGACTCCAACTTGATTGCTACTTTTCCCATCCTTGTTGTCAACTTCAATATTTTCTTTTGCAAACCCAATCACTTGATATAACTACTCAAGTTTCCCACCTACAGTTGATTACATACCAAGCTCTGCGATCTAATTGCAACTTAATTATATGGAGTTGATGTTACTCATTCAATACTTATAGCGTACTTTAAAGGGTCGCTTTTTTTTTTTACTTCTTTGTTGTTTATTAGTAGAAACAATGAAAAGTAGAAAAGCAGCTGTTGGTTATTCCAGACGAGCAGTGATCACAGTATTGAAAAGTTCCTTATTATTCCTTTCCTGATTTATGGTGGTATAATTCTGCCTGTTTCTCCGAGTTATTGTTTACCTCTTCTCCTTAGCCATTATATCTTTCAGTCAAGGCGTTTGTACTCAATTAGTGAAGACTAATTAGATTTCTCATTGGTTTAATTGCACGTCTCGCTTTCATGATATACGCACAGTCTGTTACCCGGTTTTGCGAGGAGTTCCCAAAGGACTCTCTCATACTCCTTTGTAGTTGATGCAATACACAGATTGCTTTCTGAAAGCAGGTCAGATTTGGAGTTTGAAACACTTTTTGCGTAACCTAAGAAGTTTAAAATTTATTCTGCATATGAAACTTTTTTTAGCTTAGATTCTGAAGAAAATGTTTTGAATCAGAAAACTGGATTTTGTCTTGCTTGTTTTGCTTGGCTCGACTGAGAATATGTAAAATCTGTTGGTTGAAAAGCTACAAACAGAAGACATGCTTTATACCATAAGGCCTAGTAACAACTCTTAGATTACAAATTTTTCAGTAAATATGAACAGACTTCTCCTGCACCGTTATTTAGAAACTGAGAAAATCTCATGATCATCTCAGCTGCTGACTGTTCCTGAGCAAACTCTTTGCTCTCTGTGCCTCAGTCTCTCCACCTGCACAATGGGCATATTCCTGCTCCACTCCTCGATAAAGGAGAGGAATTACTGACTCTGTTGCATTGGAGCAAATTGGTATTCACTTCTTGGCTATTTTTTCGTTTCATGGCATAGAGGCATGGCAAGGCTCATTATCTCCTGAGCACGGGTAAAAATTCAGGAACCAAAACTGCTTAGGTGTCCACTTGGTGGAATCTGTGGCACGTACGTGACTTACTCACCCTCGTACTAGTTAAGGTGGGGATCTGGATCAAAAACACCCTGATTGTAATGACTCCCTTGCCAAGGGTGTTTTAAATATTAATTCATTTTTATAATGTATGATGAAATCCTCTATTGGGAAATGCTAGGAAAGTGCTGCACAATTTTATACTATCTTGGTATTATTCATATCAAGTAGGTTCATATTAATCCTTCAGAATTAGAGCATTAATTATAAGATTAAGTCTTACATAATTATTACACACCTCATATTTTTCCTGTAATATTTATCCTAATTAAATAGTTATTTGCCATTAAGGAGTACCTGATATCCCCTATTAATCCTGAAAGAGAGGTACATTGACGCTAATAATTGTCTCTCATCTCTTTTGTTTGTAGATACAGGCTGGTACCAGAGGTGTGCTTCCCCGAGCAATTCCATGATGCTCTTCGTGCTACTAAGCATTTTTTGCAGCCTGATGTCTTAGCCAAGTATTCAGTTGACCCAAGTCGAATTGCAATTTCTGGCGATAGTGCAGGAGGAAATTTGGCAGCTGCTGTGTGTCAGCAGGTAACATCCAGTGTCTGTTATGTATTACGCTATGACAGTCTCCAGTTCAGTGATGCATATAGGTTGACAGATTCTTTGTGCTGTGTCATCACAAGGTGATGTGCCAACCCTAAAGACAGAATGGTAGAAAGCCAGCATCTAGTCACTTTACAGAAGAAAAATGAGTCAATCGCAGTATGAATCACATAGCTTGCAATGTCTTACTAGAGTTACGAGTGGTTAGGGGCCAGATTTTAAGAGCAAGTACCTAAATGACTTTTTTTACCCCTTTTGCTGGTGAATTCTTTATTTTTCTAAGTAGATAACAGGTACATGCGTAAGTTATCGCTTTAGCTTCCTATTTTTAGATGCTTGTCTCTGAAAATATGTTTTTATTTCTTTCAAATACGAACAAAGGACAAAATATACAATAAATTAAGCTTAATTCTTCTGTTAAATTGTCTTCCTGTAGCATTTTGCAATTTTAAGGAAATTTCTTTTGTGTATCTGCAGTTTAAATGTAATCTCAATTTAATCTAGTAAAGATTTTAAAGGCAGCCTGGGGCAAGTAATATTTTTCATGGTTGAGTGAAATATTGTTATTAGCTTTTTCATATTGCCATAACCATTGGTGATAAGAAAGCGGATACCATGTCCAGGCAGCTAATTATCATGACAACTTTGCAATATTGAATTAGGGTGAAAAACTGAATAAGGGAGAATTACACTAAAAGTTTCACTGGCGAGGACTGATAAACATGATAGTGCCATGTTCTGGAAGCAGCATTCCTAATTTGTTTCCCTGATGCATAATTCTTTTTAAATCAGGGATGTAGGCCTGTTTCAGGGAGAGGTTAAATACACTAAGATTGTTCAGCCTGAAAAAGAGAGAGACAAGATGAGATATGATAGAGGACTGTGTATCTTGTGTTGTAGATGAAGCAAAAGAAGTGTTTGCTGATTCTTCCAGAAAAAGATTAGGGGGCACCAAATGTATAATTGGTAGGCTCAAATCAAATGCAGATGGCAGGTTCAAGTTAAACACAGAGAGCTGCTTCTGTACATGGTGAGCCTTTGCTAGAGAAAACTGTGGATGCCAACAGTTTGCATATGCTCAAAAAAACAATTGGATAAATTCATGGATGAAAAATCCATTAAAAACTGTTAAAAGCAAGAATGGCTTCTTTGATTCAGGAATTCCTTCAGTTGCAAACTGTTAAACTGAGAACTGCATTAGCTAAATGCCACCTTACAATGTTTTTATTTTCTTCTTACACCGTTCAACTTCTGCCACTGATTTCTGTTGGAGACAGGATACTGGGTCTGCCTGAATGGCCATCCTTGCAAGAGAAGAAAAAGATCAGGCTGCTAATATTTCAGACAAAAGAGCGACATTACCTGCATAAGAGCAGAATTTGGCCTAAAAATTGTCAAATGAATGGTGGCTTGTATGAATGTAAGGTTGATATTGTAATATAATTCTATCCTATATTCTTCCCACAGCTTAGTAAAGATGAGCATTTGACCATCAGACCAAAACTGCAGGCCTTAATTTATCCAGTCCTTCAGGCATTTGACTTCAATACACCTTCTTATCAGCAGAACATGAATATGCCCGTTCTTCCTCGTTATGTCATGATCAACTACTGGATAGATTATTTCAATGGTAATTATGACTTGGCTCACTCACTGCTGATTAACAACCACACTGCTCTTGACGTTGGCCAAGCTCTCTCTTTCAGAGGACGTCTGAACTGGACATCTCTACTGCCTTCATCATTCAAAAAGAACTACAAGCCTGTGATACAAACCACAGGCAAGGCTGAAATCATCCAGGAGATACCAGCGCTGCTTGATGTACGAGCAGTCCCACTCCTTGCAGAAAACGAAACTCTGCAGCTGCAGCCAAAGACTTACATCCTGACCTGTGAGAACGACGTCCTGCGAGATGACGGGGTGATGTACGCCAAGCGCTTGGAGAACGCCGGCGTGGAAGTCACGCTCGATCACTTTGATGACTGCTTTCATGGCTGTATGATATTCACCATTTGGCCTACTGATTTCTCTGCGGGAGTTCAGACTAGGAACAGCTATATAAAATGGCTGGATGAAAACCTCTGAAGAGAGAGTCTCTTGAGAAGACACAGGGTGCGTGACTCTGGTGTCTGTTCTTGCTAAGGAGCAAACAATGAAGAAGTGCACTTTTCCAAATTCAGACTTTATCTGTTCAGCTGCAGCTGCTGGGGGTTACAGACCACTAACTACAGTGTCCACTAGCTCGATAGGCCTTGCCCAGCAAAGTATTTTGAGAAACTTTTCAAACTCTGATTTTTTTCCCCCCTTTTTTCAGATGACAAACATAAACAAGTGTTGAGCAGGGAGATCAGCACTCCTGTAGCATTCTTAACTGGCTACAACTTTCAAGCTTTGACTCTCAATTAGGTACAAAGGCCACAATTTTCAAATGATCTGAAGTAAAGCCAAACACCTACACCTACATCTGAATATGTAAAAATGGGAGCTAGTTTTCAACAGTGGTGAGCCTGTCAAAGAAAGCGTGAGCACTCTCACCTTTGACAGCAGAGGCATGCATTTGAATGTCAAGCGTGGATTTAGGTGTCGGCTTTTAGGCACATAGACAAATGGCTCGTTTAAATTTGAAAAAAAGCTCTTCTGGGCAGTTAAGATGATGCTAGACAACTCTCCTAGCCAAACAGCAATTCAGCTTTGGAATTTGGTCTTTATTGCCTTTTAGTTATTTATATTTTATAAAAGCACAGGACTAAATATATTTTCAATAAAAAGTATTACAGCATACATACAAATATATAGGATAAAAAACTATGTGTAGCAGCAGAACCCAGGTTGTTTATGTGAGTGAGCTTCAAAGCTGACTACTTATTTGGTTAAAGAATGTGACTTCATCTGTGTTTAAAGCCTCAGCTTCATAACCTCCTTACAGAAAACACTGAGCGTACTAAAAAAAATCTACTGTGTGGTTTGCACTAATGTTTATAATAATAGTAGGTTTTGTTCATTGACTTTTCTTTTGTGCTTGTGGTGTTTATTTTATTTCATGCTTCCTGGAAGGACGGAAGCAAGTAAATAGAAGTGGGCTCTAATCTATACGGAAGATTTAAATCTGAGCTTTGCAGCTAAACTTTGTCTGTCTTGTAGACTGCCCCAAAACGCTAGGTAAGATAATCTCGCTATTTTGCAGCAAATCTCTACAGTTTGAGCCAGTCCATGAAATTCAGACAGGCAGGACAGGGAAGTGAAAACACTTGCCACAGCGTATATTGTGCAGGATGCTTACTGCTTGCAGAAATGAAGGTTGTGTCAAAAGCCCAGTGTTTCTAGGCAAAGAGGAGAGAATGGCTGCCCCGTGACTAAACTAGTGGATTAAATTCCTCCTCAGCTTTACCACAGACTTCCTGAGGGACCCCAGGAGAACAACTTAATCTCCTTATGCCTCACTTTCTTCTTCTGCAAGAGAGGGAGCAGTAATTTCCTACCTCACAAAGGAGCTGTGAAGCTGAACCCACAGGTGCTGATGAAGCACAGGGATGTGACGGTGACGGGCAGGCACGGAACAGCTCCTTGTAGCTTTTGACCTTCCATCCTTCTCTACCAGCTGGCTCCGAGCAGCCTGCCCCGTGATGGGTGCTGCTGCTAGGATGCGGGTCCTCCTGGCCAGTTAGCTCAGCTCGGTCCTGGCTCCTGCGAAAGCACCGCACGGTGAGGCTTCTTGGCTCTTGGGAGATCATGACAAAGGCAATTTCATTAGAGCGTTGCTTACAGCAGGATTCTGAAAAGTTCTTCAAAAAGAAAAAAAGAGGCACTGGTGGATCAGTTGCCTTCTGTCATTTAAAATATATACAGACCAGTCTGCTTTCACTGGTATTTAAATTAAATAAGAGAATGGCTTTGCTGAATCATTGCTTCCTAGAAATGTCAAGTTGTTAATGTGGTTGTATGTATTAAGAAAAGCTATTAATGAGACAAGGCCTCGATGTAGGCTCAGTCATGCAGGCTGAAACTCATTTCTGGGCATAGGTTCACAGGGAGGTCACAAGCCAAAGCTTTTTCAACAGTGGCTCGGATTCTTCTTCCATTTATATCATTACAAAGACTCGGTGGAATTAGAGCAGCCAACTGACAATCTGAATTAGAATAAATTTTGGTCAAGATATCCAATTAACACTGCAGAAGAATTCAGACTTTTTTTCCTGGATTTAAACCCTCTTCCCTTCTTTCCCCCATAAACACAACTTCAGTAGATATAATTTGCACTTAGCAACCAAAGTTACGTCCATTCTAAAGACAAACTACTAATCTTGAAGAAGGGTCTGCTCCAGCGTCCTTTCTACTCTGTGGAGTCAAGCTCCACTTGACTTTAGACCACGACTTACAGAGTCAAAAAATACCATTACACTGAGTTGTAAAACAGGCTTCTCCCTGGCTTTCCAACTTAAAGAGTAAAGCCATGTCAGAAAAGATGTAATTTATATCCACCTGCCGTCATTAAAAGATAGTAGAAACTGTAGTACTGGAAAAAGAAGTGGTTAATATTCCTATAAATTCTATAATAATTAAGTTTGCCTGAGAGCTGTCTGCAAAGCTTTAGATCAGCATTTGTTTAGAGCTAAGTTATAAATATCTGCTATGAAGCTATAATATAATTACTGCTGGGTTTTTTTTAACTGAAATGAAACGGAGAGCTGGAATGTATATTCGTGGCGTTGGCTGTAAATTTCCTTCATGCACTGAAGCACATTAAAGCCTTGGCACAAGAAATGGTGTAGTAAGTATATAACTGGACTGAATGTGTTTACTAAGTCATCACCAGCTTGACACGACATCCAAGATCACAGCACAACTTGGATGAGATGATACAGTATTAACTAGTTCTGTCAAAAATATCTTGACTACTTTTATTATGCAGCTATTGGTTTAAGTATGTGATAGCTGCAAAGATGTGTGATGGATCCTATAACATATAAAAAGAAGTCTGAGTTCCAGCTATAAAAAGACCTTTTAGTATATAGCTGCACAAGACACTTGATTAAAATTCAGTGTAAACCTTGAAGTAAGTGTTCGTCCAAGCTCAGCTTTCCTCCTGCTTTGCCTTGTTCTCCTTTGCACGCAGTCCCCGTGCCCGAAGTTGAAAGTTTAGGGTTGTTTCCAGCTGAGCTGCTGCAAGCTCCTAGAAACCAAGCGCTAACTCAGCTGAGAGCTCAAGCGGGGCCGGCAGGCATGGTTACTGATGCCTGATAGCAAGAGAGTAAGATTAATGCGTGTTACGACATCTGGATTTGTTCATGTGTTTAGTCCTACATCTCCTGAAGTGTTTCCTCGGGCGTACCCAGCACCTTCGTTCCTTGGTTATTTCACAAAGCGGTCCAGGGCACTTTGCCTATTGTAGGATCAGATCAAGTATTTGTAACAATATTTCACCTGTGCATAGTAAAAAGTTAGTCTTCTAAAAGAAGATGGTCAATAAATTTGTCTGCTTATCTTTTCATTAAATGAACAAGTATGGCTAACTACTTTTTGAAGATTGCTTTTTTCCCCCCCTGCTCCTACAATTAGACTTTATATCTATCCGTTGCAAGAATACCTTGTTCCTGATGGCCATCAAAGCATTCAAATGTAAGCTTTAAAAAAAAAAGCTTCATATAACAAAACCTATAGTAATTTGGATCCTTTTATAGACCTGGGAACTGTATTAGCAGGTCCCCAGTGTTTTGGCCAATATTCACAGGAATAAATAGAGGTTTTTGTCTCCCTAAGTTAGGACCTCTTAAAGGATGGGTGTTCAGCATTTCTGAAAACCCAGACCCATTTAAAGATGTTTCATGGTGCACAAAAATCACTAATAACTTGAATTTCCTAACCTTCATCTAAGTAACTCCAAAACTGCATCCCTAGCCAGAGCAGAAAGGCCATTGTGGGTTTAAGTCCTACAAACTAAAAAGAAATGCTTTATCTTCAAAACATTGTTCTGTGTTTGGGCTGCTATATTTTTTAATTAGGTGCATCATGGGTATATTTTTTAACCTCTTACTAAAGTTTATTAGAAACTTTTTCAAATAAACATATTAGAAGTAGGTAAACCTGTCTTAAACCTTTTAAGCTGCTATGATCTGTAACAATGATGTTGTTAAAAAACCCAAAACCAGCTGGTTTAATGGGTTTAATGTTCTCTTATTTATGATGTTCAAAACCCCAAAGTACAGCATACCTGATGTGAATGCATTCAATGTCTTAGGCATGACCATTTTTTGCTTCTTTCCCAGTGCAGGGGAAAGATCTTGTAAGATCTAATTAGCAACTGCGATTGAAATGTGCTATCAAAATGAAGAAAAAATAAATAAAGTGAAATATATCTGTGATGTTTGTTTTTTTTTTTTCCCCAGGACTGCTGATTTTTTTTTTTTCCCCAGGTGTACAACATTTCCAGTTTGAGTTTTCACTTAGCAGAGGTCAGTGAAACAAAACTGGAGACCTCAGAGTGAAGAAATACTGAACCAAAGCCAGGGGGGTTGCTTTCAAGGCAGGAAACCACACCGGTGTGCCCATGCTCGGCGAGGGGGACCTCCTCTTACTCCGTTTCTGCCAGATGATGAACGGAGACCACGTTTGCTGGTGTTGAACAGCGGACACCACCTGCACTACTGCTGTGCCTCTCTTTCAAGATAGTGGAGCTCGTGTTCTCCATTCTCATCGATAAACACATTTTTGTATGTTTATAGATTATTTACATGTCTGAAATCTGTTTTAGCCAGTGAAAGTCCTCGTTCTGTTTTCATTCTGGTTTGCCTTCCTTTCACATTCTTTCTTTCTGAACTATTAGCCATTTTCTTCCCTTGCTCTCTCATTTATTAATGGTCATACCAGCATTGCTTTTGAAATATCCTAATGTGGGGGTTTGCCATTTTGTCCAGCAGGGTCCTGTGACTTTCACAGAAGATAAAGCTTTCCTCCTGCT